AATCAATAATTTTTTTAAATGCCTCATTTTTTGGTCAATACATTAGCAATTGTATTCCTAAAGGAATCATCTTTCCAGTCTCCATCTATGTCCAGCATCCACCAGTCTGCAAAGTCAAGATTATCTGGATCCCTTGAAATAGATTCACACTCTCGTCATGGTGTGGTGCCCTCCTTGGTTTCCAGTGTTCTGGTTGCCACGTATAATTAATTGGGCATGTCTATCAGGGCTAGGATTTTAACAAGATTTCTAGTATAAAATGGCTGGCTGATGTGTTTCCTTTTTTTTCCCTCCTACTCCAAATCCTATTCATATTTCAGAAGAAAGATAAAATGAAACCAAATCCATAACAGCACTGGAAAGTTGTCCAGGGCACCTTCATAGACCAGACTTGCGGGGAATGGCAGGAATACGTAGGACATATATGATCAGATTTATGGTAATAGAACAGTAGAATTGTGGTCCCATGCAGGAAAGTTAGGGCCACCAAAGAGATTGTTTTTTTCCCTAGAAAATTTCCACAATAATCCTAAGGTAATATAAGGGGAGACTAAAAAACAAAGTGTAATTGTTCAGTCATTAACTGAAGGAATAAGTACAGCTGCAGAAGTTCTCTATTTTCATAGTCACTTAGTCATCTGTCCCCATGAATGTGGGCATTCTGACACATGGGACACCAGGACGGGCACTGGAGTCAGAAGGTTAGGCCGACCATGGAGGAAGGGTTAATGCAAAAGATGAGCTGCTCACATACCCTGGAGAAATGCTCTCTTGGACACAGGCAATACAGGCAATTGACTAGAGCCAGATTTCCTGTTTTCAAATGGTTTTTACTATTGAGTGAGTAAACAAATCAAAAATCACCAAATATTTGAGTAAAATGACCACAAAAAGCATCAAAAATCAGAAAAATTAACCCCTAAAAAATAATTAATACAGTCAATAGAAGACTTTAAAGTAACTATAATTAACATTCCCCCAAATATTCCAGAGGGATAAGACAGCCAGAAAGACAACTTGGAGTTTTTGGAAATGAAGTACATGATTCAACCACAAACAAACAAAAACCCCGCCTCTGTAGGTGAGCGGGGTAGAAGAACAGATGATGACTGAAGAGCAAATCAGCTGTAATATCAAGCTGATGATAAGAATTAAAGCAACACAAACTATGACAGAAAAGTCAATAAACATGAAGAACAGATCCAGGAATATCATGATCTCTTTATTATAAATTTCAGAAAGAAAGGAGAGTGAGGATGAAGGCCAGGAAATAATAAAAGACATAATAGAAGAAAATCCACATGAGTTGAAGAAACACATCAGTCAACAACTGCCAAGACGAAATGAATGAGAGAAAAAGAGAGAAAAAGGAGAGAGAAAGTTCTATACTTAAACACATTATATACCATACAGATGATATTTCCAAAGTCCAAAGATAAAAAGAAAAGCCTAATAGTTTCAGGAAAGAAAAAAAAGGAATCCAATAGGAGTAAGGGATAAGAATCAACCCTCTCCATACCTCTCATCGTCATCTATAACGTGGGACATTGTAGCACAATGTCTTCAAAGCTTTGAGGGAAAATAATTTTGAACTCAGAAGTCAACCTGTCCTGTGAGAGCAGAATAAGAATTTTTTTTTAAAAAAAAACACCCCCCCCCCCCGACAAATTACCTCTCAAAAAAAAAAAAAAAAAAAAAAAAAAAAAAAGTGATAATTTTAGAGATTCAAGAATTCAGAAAAGTTACTGCACCCAAACTTTCTAAAAAAATTACTTGGAGACGTCACCCTCTGAAATAATAAAACAAAAAAGGAAAACTTAGGGGTGAACCAAGAAATGAATAATGTTCATTTATTTAATGTATTTATAATGTGGTTGTGAACAAAATAAACTGTAAATAAATTAACTTGAAGAGATACATAAAAATTAATAATCTGTAACTAAAATTCTGATGACTTGGACAAGATATAAAAGGTAAAGGGAAAGTAAGATAGTACCGGAATTGTTTTGTTTAGAGAATGGCAGCTTCAGGCATTAATTCTCAACACTGATTAAAAAGAGTTTGAATATGTCTATTAATAAATTAATAGAAAGGAATGCATAACTTTTAAACCATTAGAGAAGAAGGACAAATTCAGACAAGGATGAAAAATGGCAACAAAATAAGGGATAAGAAAATACTATACAGAAAACACCCCCAGTTGGTGTGGCTCAGTGGATTGAGCGCTGGCCTGCGAACCAAAGGGTTGTTGGTTTGATTCCCAGTCAGGCCACATGCCTGGGCTGCGGGCCAGATCCCCAGTAGGGGGTGTGGAAGAGGCAACCACACATTGATGTTTTCCTCCCTTTCTCCCTCCCTTCCCCTCTGTCTAAAAATAAATAAATAAAATCTTAAAAAAAGAAAATATTATACAGAAAACACAAAGCAAAATGACATAAATAAGACTAAACATGTGTGAAAGGGTTAAATGCTTAAGTTAGTTTTTAAAAAGTCCCAATGCAGCCCTGGTTGGTGTAGCTCAGTGGATTGAGTGCTGACCTGCCAACCAAAGGGTTGTGGGTTCAATTCCCAGTCAGGGCACATGCCTGTGTTGCCGGCCAGGTCCCCACTTGGGGGCACATGAGAGGCATCCACACATTGATGTTTCTCTCCTTCTCTTTCTCCCTTCCCCTCTGCCTGTAAAATAAATAAAATGTTTAAAAAAAAAAAAAGCCCCAGATGCAAACTCTTTATGAGAAACATGCCCTAAATAAAATAACCCAGATGGGGATTTAGACTTAGAACTGGGAAAAGAGAAAAATTACTTCAAGCTAAATCCAGGATTTGGCAGCAGCAATTTTGGAGAGCAAAAAGCATCTAACACACTCACCTTGATGAGTCTTAGAGAGGGAGTAAGGGGGTGAAGTGCACCCAGAGGGCAGAGAGACACATGGAAACTGAACGGAAAGCATCTTGGCAATGATTTTTTTAAAAAAAAATTTCACTAAAAGCAAAGGTAACAATAGAAAAAACAAATGAGTGGGACTACCTCAAGCTAAAAAGCTTCTGCACAGCAAAGAAATCATCAGCAGAATGTAAAGGGAACCTATGGAACGGAAGAAGAGATTTGTAAAATATATATCAAATAAGAGGTTAATATTCAAAGTATACAAAGAACTCATATAACTCAATAGCAAAAAACCAAATAACCCAACTTAGAAATGGGCAAAGGTCCTGAACAGATATATTTGCAAAGAAAACATACAAATGACCAGCAGGAACATGAAAATGTGCTCAACATCAGGGAAATGCAAATCAAAATTACAATAACATATAATTTCACAACTGTTAGAATGGCTGTCATGAAAAACACAAAAGATAACAAACGCTGGAGACAGGTGGAGGGAGGCCTTGTGCGCTGCTGGTGGGAACGTACATTGGTCCAGCCACTTTGGAAGTTCCTCAAGAAACTAAAATGGAGTTAGAAAAGAACTACCATATGATCCAGCAATCCCTCTTCTGGATACATCCAAGGGAAACAAAATCATTTTCTTGAAGATATATCTGCATTCCCATGTTCATTGCAACATCATGCACAATAGCCAATATACGGAAACAAGTTGAGTGTCTGTTGATGAATGAATGAATAAAGATGTGTGGCACATAGAAGTATATCCACAATGGAATCAGCCTTAAAGGAAGGAAATCCTGTCATTTGTGACAACACAGATGAACCTACAGGGCATTGTGCTGAGACAAATTAGACAGAGAAAGACAAATACTGCATGGTATCATTTATATGTGGAATCCCCCCTCCAAAAAAAAAGAAGTTGAACTCAGAAACAGAGAGTAGGATAATGGTTGCTGCTTACATGGGGGGAAGGAAATTAGGGAGATGTTGGTCAAAGCATACAGACTTTTAGTCATAAGATGAATGAGATCAGAGGACCTAATGTAAGACATGGTGGCTATAGCTGATAACACTGCATGGTAGAGCTCACATTTGATAGAGTGGGACTTGCATGTTCTCACAAAAGAGAGAGAGAGAGAGAGAGAGAGAAAAAACAATGGAAAGCCTGGAGGTTACTGTTCAAATGGATTAGATTAGATGCAGGGACTTAAAAACAGCATTATCAGGGAATGTTCAGTACAGGTATTTCCATTTTCTAGGAACAGATAATGGGCGTTAACATCTGTCCTTCTGGTAGCAGATGGCATTGTTTCTACTGTAAGTTATTTTGATATGACCTTAAAGGAAGTCCCAGTTCACAACCGTTTCACCACCTGACAACCTTTATAATGCTCTGAATAATTCAAAGAGAGTTGAACTTAAATGTTCTCCCCCCAAAAAATTATTATTTTTTTTAAAAAGGAAAGAAAGGTAAAAAACAGAATGGAAAGCCTAAGATAACATCAGCTTGCAAGCAAATGTTCTTAATGAATGTCATGTTCGGGGGGGTCAGGTTGCTAACTGACCCGTGGCACTGGAACCTTCCTAGTGACAATTGCGCTGGGCTAGGGGCTGTCATTCCAGTATAATTCTCCAAATGGTTGTTGAGATATGTTCATCCACGTTGCTAGAGGAACGCAACACATAGCCTGAGGAGCAACTCAGGAAAAAAAACGCAAGGACAGTAGTAGATACCGGAAACCCAAGTCCTGTCCACATAAATAGCTTCACTCGGAGGCCTCCTTGAATTCTCCGTGGGCCTCGGTCTTAGTTAGGACTCAGTCCAGCTTCCTGGGAGCATCAGTCACCTGTCAGTAACTGTCCTTATGTGTCCTGGCTTGTGACCTTGGGCCCAGACGTAGGACTCCTTCCTGAATGACTGTGGAAGCTAAGGCAGGGGCCTGTAGAACTTCTGCTTTACCCAAACCCAACCCACTTTAATGGCAACCGTGAATTTATTGTGGGCAAACCCATAGTTACCAATGTTCGGTTTCCATGGGGCCAACACAGACCCTTTCAATGAGCATGTGCATTTGGATATTGTATATACATGCTAGCTGGATGTCGGTTCTAAGGTTTAATTTTGTCTTTATGGTATACATATATGTTAGAGTTCTCTGAAGACTTGTTCCTAGTGGTAACTATGTAGCCACATCTTCAAAGCGGGGGTAAAAATCAGAACAGACCCCGTCACTGACACTATCAGAAAGAGCCACAGGAAGATGCGGTCGAGAACTTGAGCTACGAATTTCCAGTCTTGTACTACCTGCAAAAGAGAAAAAGACACTTTTCACTTACAACCCTGGGCAACCATTCTGAATTCATGCCAAGGGAGTAAAAAAGAGTAATAATCAGATTTATAGCCCATCGTTTCTCAAAACACACCCAACATATTGCCCGCGATATAGGCTCTTCCCAGCAACTTCACTAATAAGAGTGCCCAAACTGAACAGCTTGTGAGCACTTTCATCAGCTCTGAAGATATAAAATAGAAACAACAGAATCATTTACACATTTGTAAACATTTCAGATTAAAATGGAGAAGACTTGAATTTTTTACACAAATAAGAAGCCAGTATCTCTTAGTGTGATGCTTCCTGATATTCCCTTTGAAATGAACCACAAATTTATAAATTAAGAATTTCCGGAGATCAGTGTCAGAAGCCTACTTCTTTTTCTTCTGCTCCACACGTGGGTTTGACTGCTACAGATCCAGGATGAGGATACTGCTAAGGAAGAGAACGGCCAGGAGATGACAGGAATTCACAAGGGAGAGGGGGGACCAAGACCCTTTGGAGGAAGGGGAGTTGGGTGGGGGTGGGAGGGAACGGGCAACAAGCCACAAGGGGCCAGTTCAGAGCAGGAAAAGCAGCAAAGCCAGAGAAGTCTGAAGGACAGGGCAGTCCCATCTTTCCAGGGAAAATAAATGTCCTATGCCTACAATATGGGGATTACGTACCGTGTCTCAAGTCACATAGAATATAGGTAGGATCCAAGCTCAGGACTGATTTGAGTCTGAAATTTACACTCTAGCCACGCTTTTTGTTTTTTAAATATGTAAACTCAATAACTATACCCTTTCTCTCACCAAAATATTGGTTGTAACACTGTATTTTCATATTAGTTTAAAATCTGATTCTCTTCCTTTATTTCCAAGTACTATGGATAGAAATATCCATCATCCCATATAAAAATGAGACGTTACCAGAGATCAGAATAGCCTATTGAAAATGTAGAATTGACTTATTTTAAATTGAATTAAGTCTCATCATAAGGAATAGTGCTGAATCTATAGCTGCCACACTTTTGCTCATTCTGTTTTTGTGAACTTCTTTTTAAAAATCCACACTAAAATCCCTAATTCATGTCAGGGCTCATTTTAAATTTCATGCCGGTAAAGGCAGATAGCTAATAGTGTCACATTTTAACCAATGATAGTAGCATTTTGTTGTAAATCTAAGTGAAAATACTCATTCTTGCACACGTCAATGGTAACATTATTAGGAATAGCAGTTAACCCACCTGGCTGATAAAATGTTCTTTCTTCACATGCCTCGAGATGTATCTAATGGAATCAGCAGCCTTTTCCAAGAAAGCAACCAGAACTTTTTCTCCATCACTGATCTGTTTCTGTTTCCTTTTTTCTAGGACTTTACCTTTCACTACCGCTTTACTCTCTTCTCTGTCTGGGAAAGAGTAGCGGTCCACGTGGTCCTTCATGCAAAGTAATTTAGGAAGTTTTTGCAGAAATAGCCGCTTAACCCAGGGGGCCATGGGATGGTAAGTTGAGGAAGATCTGTGGTGAACGTTAATGACAAACACGGTCACAATGATCGACAGGGTAACGAAAATCATGATAAACAGTAGGTACTCTCCAATGAGAGGGATCACCTTTGAAGAAGATGGGATTATCTCTTCAATCACTAAAAGAAAGACCGTCAGGGAAACGAGAACAGATGTCGATAAGGAAAGTTTTTCTCCTTCATCAGAAGGTAAATAGAACACGAGAACTGTCAGAAAAGAGAGTCCCAGGCAGGGGATTATCAGGAAGAGGGTGTAGAAAAGAGGCAGGCGGCGCAGGACGAAGGAGTAAGTGATGAACGGGTATGTGTATAAACCGTCTCTTCTGCTTCCCTTCATCCCTTTTGCATTTAGTATTTCCCATTCTCCATTGTCGAAGAATTCTTTTCTGTCGACATTTTCATTTATCAAAACAAGGTCAACCATGGTACCGTCGTAAGTCCAGGACCCAAACTTCATGGAGCAGTTCTGCCGGTCAAATGGGAAAAACGTGACGTCAATGGTGCATGAACTTTTATAACTGGCAGGCGGGGTCCAAATGACAGTTCCATTGGATTTCACTATGACTTTGGTCATGAGGGAGCCTTCGAAACGTCCATCAGCACTGTAGTAAAAGTAATTTTATTTAGTGGTAAGTTGAACACATGAGTGTTTTATTTTTTATTTTTTAGTTTAGTTTTCCCACCACTGTACCATTGGTATTTTATTACTTTCTTTCTACAGGGTTAAACAATATCTCAAAAAGAAACAGTACTCTTGTTACTTGAAGTTGTGCATTCCTCTTATTTATTTTACCAACATTAGGCTCTTCTATTTCTAGCCCTAATCTACCCAGCATCCTTCACTTCTGTGATACTTACTTTTCAAAGAGAACTATATCAGGAAGCCAGAGAGATTCTGATGGGACTTTTATTGAATGAATTCCACCATATTCATCAGGATTCCAGCGTAATTTGTGGTCTGTCCATTCCTGCATAAAATTAGCATACTGTGACTTTATTCTGACCATTCAGTGTTTTACACTTTGAGGCCTTCAAGTTTAAGTTAACATACTAACCAATGTTTTATTTAAAAAGGGCAAATTCACTTGCTTTAGATTGTAGGCCCTCTCTGCGGCAGTTGGGAAGATGGGGCTTGAGCCAGCAGTTCGCCTGGTCTCTCCCAGGCCCACCCGCCTGTCCTACCTGGGATCTCCAAACCTGCCACGTCAACCTCACAAGGAAGAGGCTCAGCAGCAAATGGCACTGGCTCATGCTCATGATCCATTTTTTCAGCCTATTTTCTTTTAAGAAACAAAAAGCAATGATAGATTTAACTCAGTTTATTCTAGGTGACTTGGTCCAGTGGTATTTTAATCTCATGATGAAGGGTACAAGTGATTTTAAATGTCACACAAGAGTCTTGGACAAACATCCACCCACTATGCTAATATGGAACATCCAGTATTTCCTGACTACTCTTGATGTCATTATAACTTTTATCCAATAAAAAAAAATTCTCCAAGAATTTTTTTCTACATTCTAATCTTAACTTATTTCGTGAGCACCCAATTACAATGTTAAATTATATTCTTAATATTGTTAGCCTCCAGATGCTTTCATATTTGTTTCTCATAATAGAATGAACTCATTTAGCATGTTTTACAGGGGCTGATGGATCCAGATTAACAAACCTGACCATTAATTGATTTGATTATGAAGGTTAAAATGATGATATGTGGATGACCCAATTACAGTAGAAATGGACTTTCTTAAAATGATTTTGGATCCAGTATCTCATGAACTCTGACCTGAAAATTAAATTCTTCTATTCTACTGTCCCTCATGTGGACAGTTGAGTAATTATGTAGGGTAATATTAAATGACATTTCAGAAATTAGAAGGGTATGACTATTGAGAAGCTTCTTGGAGCCAAATGACGCCAACTTTGTTATTAAAAATTCAGGAGTCAGCAGATGGATAACTTGACTGAATGGTAAAATATTAAAACAAATACAATGCCTGAAAATGATAGAACTATACACTTTATATGTGACATTGTCTATTTTAAACAGTATTTGTGAGGCCAATCCTTGAAAAACAAAATTGAAAAGGTCTGATTCTTTAAGAAGCTACAGTCTAGGACTTCTGGCCAAGGTAGAGGCATAGGTAGTTACACTTTGCTTCCTTGCACAATCAGAAGGAGGACAGCAACAAACTTAAAAACAAAAGACAACCAGAACTGCCAGAAAATCGAATGTATGGAAATCCAACAATCACGGAGTTAAAGAAGAAACATTCATCCAGGCTGGCAGGAGGGGCAGAGATGGACAGTCAGGTGGAGAGGATGTGCAGCAAGGTGGCGGCTGGAGGCCTGAATGGGCGAGACGGCGTCTGGTGGTCCCACATTTGCCTGCGGATACAAACCCAGAGGGACAACAGGGAAGCAAGACAGACCATGTAACCCAGGGTTCTAACGCGGGAAAAGAGAGCCTCAAAACCTCTGGCTGTAAATGCCTGTGGGGGTTGCAGTGGAGGGAGAAACTCCCAGCCTCAAAGGAGAGTCCATTGGAGAGACCCACAGGGTCCCAGAATGTGCACAAACCCACCTACCCAGGAATCAGCACCAGAAGGCTCAATTTGCTTGTGGGTAGGGGGAAGTCACTGAAAGCCAGCCGAGCAAGCAGCGTTGTTCCCTTTCTGACCCCCCTCATACAGCGTCACAACACAGCGACTTCAGTTGCCCCACCCTGGCAAATACCTAAGGCTCCACTCCTTACAAGATAACAGGTTCACCAAGACAAAGAAATATGACCCAAATGAAAGAACAGAGCAAAACTCAAAAAAGAAAAAAAAGAACTAAGCCATTTATTGTGGCAATAAAGAAATTGCCAACCTATCAGATGCAGAGTTCAAAACACTGGTAATCAGGGTGCTCACAGAAATGGTTGAGTATGGTCACAAAATCGAGGAAAAAGTGAAGGTTATGCAAAGTGAAATAAAGCAAAATATACAGGGAACCAACAGGGAAGGGAAGGAAACTGGGACTCAGATCAATGATTTAGAGCAGAAGGAAGAAATAAACACTCGACCAGAATAGAATGAAGAAACAAGAATTCAAAAAAAATTAGAAGAGGCTTAGGAACCCCTCGGACAACTTTAAACATTCCAACATCCAAATCATAAGGGTGCCAGAAGGAGAAGAGGAAGAGAAGGAAATTGAAAACTTATTTGGATAAATAACAAAGGAAAACTTCCCCAATCTGGCAAAGGAAATAGATTTCCAGGAAGTCCAGGAAACTCAGAGAGTCCCAAAGAAGTTGGACTCAAGGAAGCACACACCAAGGCACATCATAATTACATTACCCAAAATTAAAGATAAGGAGAGAATCTTAAAAGCAGCCAGAGTAAAGGAAATAGTTACCTACAAAGGAGTTCCCATCAGACTATCAGCTGGTTTCTCAAAAGAAACCTTGCAGGCAAGAAAGAGGTGGAAAGAAGTATTCAAAGTCATGAAAGACAAGGACCTACATCCAAGATTACTCTATCCAGCAAAGGGTACCATTTAGAATAAAAGGGCAGATAAAGTGCTTCCCAGATAAGGTCAAGTTAACGGAGTTTATCCTCACCAAGCCCTTATTATGTGAAATGCTAAACGGACTTATCTAAGAAAAAGAAGATCAGAACGAGGAACAGTAAAGTGATAACAAACTCAGAACTATCAACAACTGAACCTGAAAAAAGAAACAAAAACAAAAACAAACTAAGCAAACAACTAGAACAGGAACAGAATCGCAGAAATGGAGATCCCAGGGAGAGTTAGCAGTGGGGAGGGGGTAGGGGGAAGGGGGAGATTAGGGGAAAAGGTACAGGGAATAAGAAGCATAACTGGTAGGTACAAAATAGACAGGGGGAGGTTAAGAATAGTATGGGAAATGGAGAAGCCAAAGAACTTATACGTATGACCCATGGACATGAACTAAAGGGGGGCAATGCTGGTGGGAAGGGGGGGTGCAGGGCGGAGGGGAATAAAGGGGAGAAAAAATGGGACAACTGTAATAGCATAATCAATAAAATATACTTAAAAAAACTACACTCTAAAAGATAAAAAATTGCATGATTATTTATGGAAAAGCTATGCATATGAAAACTGACGGTTTAAGAGACCAAACTAATAAAGTATTTACCATATTTACTTGGTGCTTATAGGCTTAGCTTTTTTTATTTCCTATTCCTCTGCCCATTTTGAAAAGCAAATATAATTTCATTCCTATGACTAATTTGTCTCTTTCCAAGGGGACTATTACCATCAGCAGCAGGTCTGAATCTTACAAATGTCGAAGGGAACTCAGAGTAGCATTTTTGTTTGTTTCATTTTCACCTCATTTATGTTTTAAAATTTTATTTACAATAAAACTCTCTCTTTTTCTGTGCAGTTCTATATGCAAGCAGTTATGTAATCACTAATACTGTCAAGAAACCAGAACAGTTCTATTGCCCAACAAATTCCCCATTTGCAATCAACCCCTCCCCCATCCCCAGCCCCTGGCAACCGTGGGTCTAGTTTCCAATCCTATAATTTTACATTTTCTAGAATGTCATGTAAACGGAATCATGCAATAGATCCTGATTTATTTTACTTATCATATGGATTTTGGATCTTTCTATGTTGTATTAATAGTTTGTTCATTTTTATTAGTGAATAATATTCCATTGTATGAATATAACCACAATTTATCCATTTAACCAGGTAAAATATTTGGATTCTTTTAAATTTTTAACAATCACCAATAAAGCCACTATAAACATTTGCTACAGTGATTTGGGTTAAAAACATTTTTTTCCCCTTGGGTAAACACCTAGGAGTGGGATGTGTAACTTCACGTGAAACTGCTACACAGTTCCAGAGTGGCCGCAGGTTTTGCATTCCCACTAGCAAGGTCTGTGAGTTCCAGTTATCTGACATCTTCTCCAATCTTGCTATGGCCACATTTTTTTTCATTTATTTTAACTATATTCTAATAGTTGTACAGTGGTATCTCACTATGGTTTTTCATATGCATTTTTTTAATGACTGATAATGTTGAGCATCTTTTCATGTGCTTATCTGCCATCCATATATCTTATTTGGTGAAATAGCTATTAAATATTTGCTTTTGCTTTTTTTTTTTTTTTTTAGAGAGGGGAAGGAAGGAGAAAGAAAAGAAGAGAAACATCAGTGTGAGAGAGAAACAACGATGAGTTGCCACTTGTACACACCCCTACCAGGGACGTTATACACTACCCAGCATGTGCCCTGGGCTGGGGATGGAACCGGCGACCTTCTGCTTTGCAGGATGAAGCCCAACCAGCTGGGCCATGCTGGTCAGGGTATAAATCTTTGCATAGTTTTAAATTGGGTTGTTTTCTTATTACTGAGGGTATTTTTCCTCTCTCTCTCTCTCTCTTTTTTTTTTTTTTTTTGAGTTTTCAAATATGTTGTTATTATAGCAAAGAGTCACATTCTACTTAAAAATCCAAGAGGCATTTTTCTAAGATGTAACCGAAAGGAAGGGCAGAGACACGGGTGAAGGAAGGGCACCAGAAGGCTCAGAAGTAACTTGCACTTACTACTGAGCTTTTAGAGTTCTTTATATATTCTGGATAAAAGCTCTTTGTTAAATATTTGATTTGCAATATTTCCCCACAGTGTGTGGTTTCTTAATTCTCTTAACATCTTTCATAAGACAGACATTCTAAATTTTGATGAAGTTCATTTTACCAATTTTATCTTTTAAGGATTATGTCATATCTAAAAGATTTTTACCTAATCCTAGGTCACAAAGATTTTCTCCTATGTTTTCTTCTAGGAATTTACAGTTTTGCACTTTACATTTAGATTTAAGACCCATTTTGAGTTAATTTTTCATAATGGTATAAATATAGGTTGAGAGTTTTTTTTGTTTGTTTGCATATTGATGTCCAATTGTTGAAGATGTCCACATTTTGTTGA